AGCAGAAGACCTTGGACACTCAGCAGAAGACCTTGGACACTCAGCAGAAGACCTTGGACACTCAGCAGAAGACCTGGAGCACTCAGCAGAAGACCTGGAGCACTCAGTAGAAAATCTGAAGCACTGAATAGAGGACCCGGAGCACTCAGTAGAAGACCCAGGGTGGCACTCAGTAGAAAAGTGGGGCACTCAGCAGAAAACCTGGGACACTCAGCAGAAGAACTGTGGACCTCATTAGAAGACCTGTGGCATTCAGTAGAAAAGCTGAAGCACTCAGTTGAAGACTCGGAGCACTCAGTAGAAGATCGGGGGTACTAAGTAGAAGACTCGGAGCACTCAGTAGAAGACTCGGAGCACTCAGTAGAAGACCCAGGGGACCTTATTAGAAGACCCAGGGCACTCAGTAGAAGATCCAGGGCATATGCTCTTGGTGCTAGAGTCTAGAAACGCCCATGTTGACCTTGTGGGCTCCCCATTATACATAATATGCCTCTAGTACAGCGGTATACAATCTCAGTGCTCTAGATGTTGTCTATCTTCTGGTCCCATGAGGCATTGCAAGACTTACAGCCACAAGCATGACTCCCAAAGGCAGATGCATGATGGCATTTGAAATTTTATCACAGCTGGAGCACTGAGTTTGTCTAGATTATACTATAACAGCCAAGCATCTAGCATTTCCCTGGAAGTGATAGGAAATCTTCCTAATGGGGCGCAGGTGGCAAAAGAGTTGACGGGTTATAACCCTCCCTTATTTTATCATTTCTACTTTAATGTACACTGAGTGAAAATCCTAAGTGTACCCCAGCTGCCGTGCTGGCTGGACACCATTGATAGCTCCCTGATGGGTTTCACTCATAGCCTGCTCTATGGCGTCATTGGTATCTTCATGGAGAATGCTGCCTCCATCTCTCCTCCACGTTTCCAATGTCTGCCGGCAGCTTAGCAACACATACGGCTGGGCTGAGCCCGCTAGATGAGGACTCTCTTCACCACGAGTGCCCGGAAGGAGAAGGGCATCGGCTCCTCTGGAAATGGTGTGGGGAATTTTTGATGCAGATGGTTTTCTTACAGTTTCTTCAAAATAAATGAATCACCAACCCCGGTGTGAGTGACATAAAACACACCTCTAATATGATTTAGGAGAACCTATAATGTCATTGAGTGGGTGCAAAATTTATGTTATTACTGTAATGTTTACCTGACTGTCAGTTGGGACTTTCATGTTATTGCGCGCTTCATGTACAGGTATAGATGTTTGTAAAAATTCTACTCAATGCAGATACATTGTATCATGTTCAGAGCTCTAACTGGTTGGTGCAGACCTGGGCGATCCGGGACGTGTGTCCTGGGACTGCACGATCATGTGCAGTTGCACACAGCGGTTACCGTGCGGCTAGGGTTGCCACCTGTCCAGGATTCACCCGGACAGTCCGGGTTTTGAATGTTGTGTCCGGATTTCATGGCAGCAGAAACGCGGACACAGATGTCCAAAATTCGACAGCCAAAATGAAGATAGGGGCTACTGGCCCCCCACTTAAAATAGTCTCGACTGTGATATATATACATATGACTGGGTGGCGCTATTTACATATGAATAAGCCACCACTAGTTCTCCAAAAAAAATGCGCGTTGATAGAGTTTTCGGGTTTCGCTTAATAAAAAAGGTGGCAACCCTACGTGAGGCCCCTTATTGATTTTCAAGGGGTTTACATCCGCGCGGCAATTGCAGAACAAAGGTACATATACGGCTGTTTAAACCGAACAGCCGATTGCACGGGTGGAATCGCGGCAGTAAACGATGCGATCCGCCCAGGGCGACTGGGGTGCTATTAGATAACAATGGCACCGCCAGCGCGATCGACGGTGCTGGGAGAATCCGTGACCGCGCGGGCATCCGCACAGTTTCATGCACAATTGCTGCGCCGTCACGGATCGTCATAGTGTGAACCTGGCCTAAAGGCCGGTGACATCCACAACATAGAAGGTACAACCAAGCAAAGAAGAAAGTCCGGGGCACTCGGAAGAAGATCTGGGGCACTGAGCAGAAGATACGGGGCACTCAGAAGAAGATCTGGGGCACTGAGCAGAAGATACGGGGCACTCAGAAGAAGGCATGAGGCACTCAGAAGAAGATCTGGGGCACGTGTCAAGGGGGCCAGGGTAATGGTTCACCCTGTTGGCTCCCTATTAAATATGTTAGGCATCTAATACAAGGGTAGGCAACTTCAATGCTCCAGATGTTGTGGAACTACAAGTCCCATTAGGCATTGACAGAGTCTGAGAGGCACAAGCATGACTCCCAGAGGCAGAAGCATAATGGGATTTGTAGTTTCACCACAGCTTGAGTGCTGTGGTTGTCTACCCCAGCTCCACCACATGATTGTTGGATGACAGGTGCAGCTGTACTGGGTTTCTTAGGGAATGGTGATGACAAATTGGTAAAGGAAAAGGTAAGTAGGGGCTCCGGTGGGTGCCCGGGGTATATGAACTTCTTGTGATGGGTTTACTTTAAATATAACATTGGAGAAGGGGGCGGTCACGTCGCGGTCACAATGCCGGAGTTCCGGGGAAATAAGAAAACCTATTGTAGTTAGAGAGAGACAATCAAAGCCGAGGAGCCTCCGTGTATTCTCTGCAGGGGCGCGTTCTCCGCTCCAGCAGATGCCTCCCATTTATTGAGTGCGTTTATTGCTCCGCAGGACAATCATTCCCGGCGAAGGCAAATCATTCCACCATAAATCGGCATCAAATACCTGCATAAGAAGGCATGAGGCACTCAGAAGAAGATCTGGGGCACGTGTCAAGGGGGCCAGGGTAATGGTTCACCCTGTTGGCTCCCTATTAAATATGTTAGGCATCTAATACAAGGGTAGGCAACTTCAATGCTCCAGATGTTGTGGAACTACAAGTCCCATTAGGCATTGACAGAGTCTGAGAGGCACAAGCATGACTCCCAGAGGCAGAAGCATAATGGGATTTGTAGTTTCACCACAGCTTGAGTGCTGTGGTTGTCTACCCCAGCTCCACCACATGATTGTTGGATGACAGGTGCAGCTGTACTGGGTTTCTTAGGGAATGGTGATGACAAATTGGTAAAGGAAAAGGTAAGTAGGGGCTCCGGTGGGTGCCCGGGGTATATGAACTTCTTGTGATGGGTTTACTTTAAATATAACATTGGAGAAGGGGGCGGTCACGTCGCGGTCACAATGCCGGAGTTCCGGGGAAATAAGAAAACCTATTGTAGTTAGAGAGAGACAATCAAAGCCGAGGAGCCTCCGTGTATTCTCTGCAGGGGCGCGTTCTCCGCTCCAGCAGATGCCTCCCATTTATTGAGTGCGTTTATTGCTCCGCAGGACAATCATTCCCGGCGAAGGCAAATCATTCCACCATAAATCGGCATCAAATACCTGCAACCACCCTCTGAGTCCACCACCCTCTGAGTCCACCACCCTCTGAGTCCACCACCCTCTGAGTCCACCACCCTCTGAGTCCACCACCCTCTGAGTCCACCACCCTCTGAGTCCACCACCCTCTGAGTCCTCCACCCTCTGAGGACTAAAATGACAAAATGCCTGACCGGAAAATTAAACACGCGGGGCTGCCATTGGCGAAAACCTTTTGAAAATGCTAGTTGCTTGGCTGGATTCAATACCTTCTGGAAATAAATGAGCAGCAGCAATGAATAGACAATCACTCTTCTCTATGGGGTGTTCACAGACAGAGCGGTGCAATGCAACAGACGCCGGATTGGCTCCTCCCTCCTGAGCACTGATCTCAGGACATGTTCACGTATGTATGTTGCTTGAGTGTAAAAGAACATTTAAAGTGCATGTAACTTTCATTTTAGTTTTGGAGGGTGCAGGGAATTAATGGAATGCATGTCAGGAGTAGAAAAGAGAACGCAGACTAGAGGAAGTACTGGCCAGATTAGTCTTATCTATTGTAGCGTTTTATAATCAGAAGCCAACCCATTCCAAGAGTACCGGTGGCAGGATCCCTCCCTAATGGGCACAGCGGGTGTACAGACCTGGGAACTCAGCACAGGGATGGTGGGAGCTCCTCATAATGGGCACAGCAGGTGTACAGACCCAGGAACTCAGCACAGGGATGGTGGGAGCTCCTCATAATGGGCACAGCAGGTGTACAGACCCAGGAACTCAGCACAGGGATGGTGGGAGCTCCTCATAATGGGCACAGCAGGTGTACAGACCCAGGAACTCAGCACAGGGATGGTGGGAGCTCCTCATAATGGGCACAGCAGGTGTACAGACCCAGGAACTCAGCACAGGGATGGTGGGAGCTCCTCATAATGGGCACAGCAGGTGTACAGACCCAGGAACTCAGCACAGGGATGGTGGGAGCTCCTCATAATGGGCACAGCAGGTGTACAGACCCAGGAACTCAGCACAGGGATGGTGGGAGCTCCTCATAATGGGCACAGCAGGTGTACAGACCCAGGAACTCAGCACAGGGATGGTGGGAGCTCCTCATAATGGGCACAGCAGGTGTACAGACCCAGGAACTCAGCACAGGGATGGTGGGAGCTCCTCATAATGGGCACAGCAGGTGTACAGACCCAGGAACTCAGCACAGGGATGGTGGGAGCTCCTCATAATGGGCACAGCAGGTGTACAGACCCAGGAACTCAGCACAGGGATGGTGGGAGCTCCTCATAATGGGCACAGCAGGTGTACAGACCCAGGAACTCAGCACAGGGATGGTGGGAGCTCCTCATAATGGGCACAGCAGGTGTACAGACCCAGGAACTCAGCACAGGGATGGTGGGGACCCCTCATAATGGGCACAGGAAGGGAATGGAGTAAAAATTTACAGTAGGATACAGTGAGTAGTACAGGTGACCCCCTGACTCTTATATGAGAGCAGTGAAGAGTACAGGTGACCCCCTGACTCTTATATGAGAGCAGTGAGCAGTGCAGGTGACCCCCTGACTCTTATATGAGAGCAGGGAGGAGTGCAGGTGACCCCCTGACTCTTACCTGTGGTGCAGGCTGTTATATAACAGAGGAAACGTATGAGTAACATGAGTGCATAGAGTCGGTAGCCCATCCTGCTGAGTGGGGTGTTGTTCTATTTCCAGCCTCTTCCAGAGCCCTCCGGGACCGCTAACCGGAGCTCACATCCAGCTCAGGAAGTGTACGGGCGAGCAGCGCCGAGCTGTCCATGAGCCGGGATCTGTCCTCGGTGCTGAACTGCCAAATATTCCCACCAACCGGGAGCTCTCCGCGGTGCTGAATCAGGTCCAGGAGAGTCCTCCGCCGTCCACACCCGGGAGAGAGGAGCCCTGAGGAGACAAGGGGGCCAACATTACTATTAACCCTTTACCTGAGAGGAGATAAGAGGGCCCACATTACTGGATTAACCCTTTACCTGAGTAGAGACAAGAGGGCCCACATTACTGGATTAACCCTTTACCTGAGTAGAGACAAGAGGGCCCACATTACTGGATTAACCCTTTACCTAAACACAGACAAGAGGGGCCACATTACTGTATTAACCCTTTACTGGAGAAGAGACAAGAGGGGCCACGTTACTGGATTAACCCTTTACCTAAGCACAGACAAGAGGGGCCACATTACTGTATTAACCCTTTACCTGAGAAGAGACAAGAGGGCCCACATTACTGTATTAACCCTTTACCTAAGCAGAGACAAGAGGGCCTCCATTACTGTATTAACCCTTTCCCTGTATAGATAGAACATTGCTCATATTACTATATTAACCCTTTCCCTGCATAGATAGAACATTGCTCATATTACTATATTAACCCTTTCCCTGCATAGATAGAACATTGCTCATATTACTATATTAACCCTTTCCCTGCATAGATAGAACATTGCTCATATTACTATATTAACCCTTTCCCTGCATAGATAGAACATTGCTCATATTACTATATTAACCCTTTCCCTGCATAGATAGAACATTGCTCATATTACTATATTAACCCTTTCCCTGCATAGATAG